ATGGGCCACTTCACATCAGATGACCACCAGATCTACTACTGCGGACAAGAGGAACATCGAAGAAATGGAGTAGCCTTCATAATTAATAAGAAATTCGCTAAAGCGGTGCTTGGATACAACCCAAAAAATGACAGAGTGCAAGGAAATGAAATTCGAGTGCAAGGAAAGCCTTTCAACATTACAGTGATCCAAATATACGCCCCAACCACAGCTGCTGAAGGATGCCCCAACCACAGCTGCTGAAGAAGCAGAAGTAGATCAGTTCTATGAGGATCTGCAGGACCTACTGGATAATACACCAAAAAGAGACATTATTTTCATTACAGGAGACTGGAATGCCAACGTGGGAAGTCAAATGACAACAGCGATCACAGGCAAGCATGGTCTGGGAGAACAAAATGAAGCGGGACGCAGGCTGATAGAATTTTGCCAGGAAAACTCGCTGTGTATAACGAATACTCTCTTCCAACAACCTAAAAGACGGCTTTACAGATGGACCTCACCAGATGGTCAACACCGAAATCAGATTGACTACATCCTTTGCAGCCAAAGGTGGCGGACATCCATCCAGTCGGTGAAAACAAGACCTGGGGCTGACTGTAGCTCAGATCACGAACTTCTTATTGCCAAATTTAGAATAAAACTAAAGAGATCAGGGAAAATACACAGACCAGTTAGATATGATCTCACTAACATTCCTAGCGAATAGACAGTGGAAGTGAAGAACAGATTTGAAGGACTAGATTTAGTAAACAGAGTCCCAGAAGAACTATGGACAGAAGTCCGCGACATTGTTCAGGAGGCGGCAACAAAGTACTCCCAAAGAAAAAGAAAACCAAGAAGGCAAAATGGTTGTCTGCTGAGCCACTGGAAGTAGCCCAAGAAAGGAGGAAAGCAAAAGGAAACAGGGATAAGGGGAGATATGCCCAGTTAAATGCGCAATTCCAGAGGTTAGCCAGGAGAGATAAGGAACTATTTTTAAATAAGCAATGCATGGAAGTGGAAGAAGACAACAGAATAGGAAGGACAAGAGACCTCTTCCAGAAAATTAGAAACATTGGAGGTAAATTTCAGGCAAAAATTGGTATGATAAGAAACAAAGATGGCAGGGACCTAACAGAAGCTGAAGAGATCAAGAGAAGGTGGCGAGACTATACAGAAGATCTGTATAGGAAGGATAATAATATAGAGGATAGTTTTGACGGTGTGGTGAATGAATTAGAACCAGACATCCTGAGGAGTGAGGTTGAATGGGCCTTAAGAAGCATTGCTAACAACAAGGCAGCAGGAGACGACGGGATCCCAGCTGAACTGTTTAAAATCTTAAAAGATGATGCTGTCAAGGTGATGCATGCCATTTGCCAGCAAATATGGAAAACACAAGAATGGCCATCAGACTGGAAAAAAATCAACTTATATCCCCATACCAAAAAAGGGAAATGCGAAAGACTGCTCAAACTTCCGTACAGTGGCCCTTATTTCTCATGCCAGTAAGGTAATGCTCAAGATCCTGCAAGGAAGACTCCAGCAATACATGGCGAGTTGCCAGATGTTCAAGCTGGGTTTAGAAAAGGCAGAGGAACGAGAGACCAGATTGCCAATATCCGCTGGATAATGGAGAAAGGCAGGGAGTTTCAGAAAAACATCTACTTCTGCTTCATTGACTATTCTAAAGCCTTGGACTGTGTGGATCATAATAAATTGTGGCAAGTTCTTAGTGGGATGGGCATCCCAAGCCACCTTGTCTCTCTCCTGAGGAATCTGTACAAGGACCAAGTAGCAACAGTAAGAACTGACCACGGAAACACAGACTGGTTCAAGATTGGGAAAGGCGTACGGCAAGGCTGCATACTCTCACCCAACCTTTTTAACGTATGCAGAACACATCATGCGATGTGCGGGGCTGGATGAATGCAAAGCTGGGGTGAAAATTGCTGGAAGAAACATTAACAACCTTAGATATGCAGATGACTCCACTCTGATGGCTGAAAGCGAGGAGGAGCTGAGGAGCCTTCTAATCAAGGTGAAAGAAGAAAGCGCTAAAAGCTGAGTTGAGGCTAAACATCCATAAAAAAACCAAGATTATGGTAACAAGAATGATTGATAACTGGCAAACAGAGGGAGAAAACGTGGAGACAGTGACAAACTTGGTATTTCTAGGTGCAAATATTACTGCAGATGCAGACTGCAGCCAGGAAATCAGAAGACGCTTACTTCTTGGGAGGAGAGCAATGTCCAATCTCGATAAAATAGTAAAGAGTAGAGACATCGCACTGGCAACAAAGATCCGCCTAGTCAAAGCCATGGTATTCCCTGTAGTAACCTACGGATGTGAGAGCTGGACCTTAGGGAAGGCTGAGCGAAGGAAGATAGATGCTTTTGAGCTGTGGTGTTGGAGGAAAGTGCTGAGAGTGCCTTGGACTGCAAGAAGATCCAACCAGTCCATCCTCCAGGAAATAAAGCCCGACTGCTCACTGGAGGGAAAGATACTAGAGACAAAGTTGAAGTACTTTGGCCACATCATGAGGAGACAGGAAAGCCTAGAGAAGACAATTATGCTGGGGAAAGTGGAAGGCAAAAGGAAGAGGGGCCGACCAAGGGCAAGATGGATGGCATCCTTGAAGTGACTGGACTGACCTTGAGGGAGCTGGGGGTGGTAACGGCCGACAGGGAGCTCTGGCGTGGGCTGGTCCATGAGGTCACGAAGAGTCGGAGACGACTGAACGAATGAACAACAACAATAGACTAATATAAGCCAGTTCAAAGTCGATAATCTGGGATCAGATTTTGGGTTATAGATAATCACAGATCCAGATTGAGAGGGCCTGCTTATTTAACAGGTGTAAATTGCATTGCAAGGGAGGAGGAATGGATGGGAGCACATCTTTCCTCTGCCTCTTGCCTTTGCATTGGACCCTTATTCCAGCAAGGACCCATGTATAAGTCCATGTATAAGTTGACCCAGGTTTTTTTGGTAATGATTTCTTGTTGCAATTATTAAAAACTCATATACAATTATATATGGTATCTGTTTTCATACTCGTTGCCTTCTTATTACTCTTCTTTGCTGCCACAAATGGCAACAAAGAGTTGGACCAGGTTCTCAAATACGGAAGACAACCAGAAGTAAATACTGTTAGCCGAAAGAGCCGCATTCTATATACATCAAATGGAAAAGAATATTTGCAATTTAAGAAAAAAATGTTTTAAAATTAGACTACATACACCTGCACTTCAGAAAAACAGGGAGGAAAGAAGTTTGTCTTAAAATGCTGCTCATGGAAGAGGAATGCATGGCTCTCCAGATGTTTCTGCATCACAACTCCTATCATCCCCTGCACAGCTATGCTGGCTAGGACTGAGGAAGAGTGTGGTCTCAAGAACATGGGGAAGGTCATATTATATATATTCCTCAGCCAGAGGGAGAAGTTGCCAGTCTCAGTTGCCCCGTTTCTCATCAGATTATAGCAGACATATGGAAAGCCAGTCAAACATGACAACTTGAATTTGAAAACAGAAAGCATGGTTGATTTTCAAACTGCTTTTCAAATAAAGCTTTACATAGTACAGTATTGTGCCAGAAGACATTGTTAAAGGAAAGGAAAACAAGAAGTTGCAGCAGCACGCAGGAAGTTTAAGGAGAAGAGAGGAAAACACACTTAAATATCAACTAGAATAACATCAAACATGTGAAAGGACTGAATTCAAAAGTGAGGCATTCTGAAATCCCTCTGTGTTTAAGCAGTAAATCAGCAAGACAGAAGAATCTTATTTTTGTTTTCAACGTTAATGTCTTGGGGTCTACTATCCATGTTTATTATAGCTTTGCCCTAAAATCAGCATCTTACTAGTGAAATCAATATTTTCATCTGATATCTATGTAAAACCTGATGAGCTAGAGCAGTGGTTCTCAAATGGTGGGTCCTCAGGTGTTTTGGCCTACAACTCCTAGAAACACAACCAGTTTACTGGCTGTTAGGATTTTTGGAAATTGAAGGCCAAAACATCTGGGCACCCATAGGCTGAGAGCCACTGAACTAGAGATTTCACATCTTGTTGAGTTGAAGAATCTCTGTGAAAGAACTAAAGATAATGGAGTTGTATTAAGAATCATGAACATGAAGCCTGTAGCCACAAAGCTCTTTTGAACTATCCATAGTTGGACATTTAAAGAAGAAAGCTGGATGTCATAGCATAACTTACCTTCACCACAGAACTCTAGACAGCCTTGCAGTTCAACACTTTCCTACTATATCCTCTTGCCGACTCTTTTAGGATACATCTCCACCATGACAGGATAGTCTCAAGGAAACTACCATTGAGGAAAAACAAGCCAATCTTTCGGCATTTTGTGCTTTCAAAACCCTCATGTTACGTACAGGACTTCTTTTTGGCTAGTCACTGTCAGTCTGTATGGTTTGGTTTCACAAAAAGCATCAAGAGAATTAAGATAAACTTCAAGGCTCCTTCAGCTTAATCTGTTTGATTATACGCCCCCTAAATATATTTAGATTCAAGAACTCTCTTGTCACCTAAAACTCTTGGAGCCCCCGGTGGCCCAATGGGTTAAACCCTTGTGCCAGCAGGACTGCTGACTAAAAGGTCAGCAGTTTGAATCCAGGGAGTGGGATAAGCTTCTGTCTGTCAGCTCCAACTTGAGAGAAGCCTCCCACAGGATAATAAAACATCTGGGCATCCCCTGGGCAACATCCTTGCAGACAGCCAATTCTCTCACACCAGAAGTGACTTGCAGTTTCTCTAGTCGCTCCAGACACACACACACACACACACACACACAATGCCTAAAACTCTGCCTGTAAATAATTGAAGGGCAGCATTCCTTGTTCTGTTACATTCATTCTGAACTTACATAACACAAAGAACAATAGGATCACCCCTCAAACATTTATGCATACAAGGTGAACTCACACCGAAGCATGATGCCAAACTTTTAAACTTTTCATCAGTCCAAGGAAAAATTTTGAAACACCAAAAACATGGAAGGTACTGCCTTTGCACGTGGCTTGTTTTGAAGAAAGAGCTACTCAACAGCCAACTCAATCATGCGGATTGGGGTGCACTGCAAAACGTAACATACATTTTTGTTGAATGACAAGATTTGTAGATACATAAATAGTGAGGATAGCTGAATGACTCTCTCTCTCAATGTATCAAAACAAACAGGAGGTCCGCATAGTAATTCACCACTGAATAATTAAGTTCAATGCTGTTAGTCTCTCTGTGTACAAAAGGGTGTGTCTGTGTAGCTGCACACAGAGGGGAGCAATTCACCACCGTTCCACCTGACTGTTATAATCCTCAGTAACAGCTACTACTTTTGCTTCTTCCTCCTTCTGCCATTCATGGAGTTTCTGTTCATGCAAACTTTTTCGCTCTTCCCGTCGTTTTTGACGGTTTTGTTCATGCTCTTCTAATTTGGCATACTGGAAGCGCTGCAGAAATAGGTCTTTAGCATATTCATACAGCTGCATATCCAGGAAGTTCAGCTCTTCGATGCGTTTCCGCACAGAATCACTGATATCCACATTGGAGGCCCGTGTAATATTGTACTGAGTGAAAGGGGAGATGAACTCCAGATTGAAAGTCCTCTCAAAAAGATATTGAGCTTTTCTCTGAAATTCAGTGAGTCCAAAGAACGCCATATTTTTCAGGTTGTTCTTGGCGCTTTGGAGGAGGATCGTGTTTCTTTCACTTTCATTCATAAAGGTCAAGTTGTAACATCCAACTAGGCTGAGGTCTGCTAGCATGCGCACCTGACGATTGTTAGCCAGGTTGTGGCTGCAGCTCATGAACTCTTGTAAGCTCACGCCAGACCAGTCATCTCCCAAGTAACACATAGGCAGCTCTTCTGGTGTAGGGCTTCGCCCGTCGCACATGTGGAGGGAGGTCTTCCACGTTGCTCCTCTCTGGACATGTTTCCATTCACTCAAGTAGCGTGACACAGGGTCCCTCAGCATTGTGATATAGTAGAAGTTCCTGAAAAATGTAAGAAAATGTATTAATTAGGGTATGGGAGTACACTGTTTTCTTTAATGGGTCAGCTTCCACAGTAGATTTGGATCAAAAACAAATCAAGGCATTTTGGTCACAAGATTTTGTTTTCACATGTACCATTGACTAGAATATCTCTAACTGGGTTTTTCATTTTTTAAAGAAAGCAAGACAATCATGCCCCTCACTTGATTTGATCAAGACTGCAGCACAGGAGAAGAAAGGATTAAATTTCTACACTATTTCTTCCAGTAAAATTGTTCCTAGTACCCCTATGTAACCTATGAGAAATTGAAATGTTGGGAACACAAAGAAAATGGCACAAGGACTAAAGGTGTCTGTGTCCCACTTTGCCCCAGAAACAACCTTACAAACAAGGGTTAAAGCAACTAAAAAAGCTTTACTCCAGCAAAATGACAATAATGTAACCAACAGCTGCAAAGAAACAGAAGGAAAACCCCAAAAGCAAAGCAAAGGCCTTACATCAGACATGAAACAAGTCTTTGGCAAAAAGTATTTGCAAGGCACTGCAAAGCTGGAGCTGTAAGCAAGGAAACTAGAAAACTGAAGCACTAAGTAGAATGGTTCCTGCCAGCATTGACCACTTGTTTTACTGCTGATTTATAGCCCTCAGCTCTCAGCACAGGTGTTCCTTGGGCAAGGTCTGATTGCTCAGTGTCCTTCCAGCAATTGTAGCTGACTTTCTCCTTTCTTCTTTCACCCTTTGGCATTCCTGAATCATAGGAACTAGCAGTATGTTTTCTTTGCCCACCCCCCTCAACACTTTGACACAAATCCCCAACTCCTACATGTTCAGCCTCCTGTTCTACCTCCTCCTCCTCAGAAGAGTACACAACAGTCTGCCCAACCCCAATCCAATTCACCATCACATGGTGGCTGTAAATGCATTGTAAAACATTTCTAATCCTGGGTCCGATCGGGTGTGTTATACAATGAATTGGCCCTAGGATAGATTACACAGTTACCTTCCCATTTGCTGGTTTGTTGCCATTGGACAGCTACCTTTACTGTTCACTCCCATTCCTGTCATGGCAGACAGTGGGTGCAACATGGTCACTCGTCATGCAAGACCAACAAGGGAGGGGAAAGCATGGAATCACCCCTTCTTTTCTAATTACCATGTTACTCCTGCTGACACCACTTCAGGCGATGAGCGACTGGCAAGACTCATGTCACACCTGCTTGCTACCACAACAGGGAGAATGGGAGGGGATGATGAATGCCATCCTGTATCCTCAGAAAGTTTGACCCCAGGGAACACAGGATGGCCATGTAAACAGTCACCACCGGTTCTGTCTCAGAACTGCCCCAACTACTTACATAGACCCAACATTGCTGGTTGCTATGGACTCTAGGGCAGTATTTGTCATCCTCTGAGGCTGAAAGTATGAGTTGACAAGGTCACTGGGTGAGTTTCCTGGCTGAATGGGGATCCAGATCCTGGTCTCCAGAGTCCTAGTCCAATGCTCAGACCATTACATCATCCTGGTTCTCATATTTAGAAAAAAGCCTGTCTTCCTCAAAATCGACATTTTTAAGTCTGCACATGTATTGTTTAACCTTGGCAGAATTTTATTCGATGACCGTTTTAATTCCATGATTGCTTGCTTTTACATTTGGACTTTCCAAAAGAAACATAAAATTTTAAAGGTTTCAATTCTACTTTATTAAGAATGTCTGGCATCCAAGACTTGAAAAAACTGCAGTCCCTTGAATGTATGGTTAACTTGATATAGTACAATGAAACAAATAGTACAATTTGTAAAGCTGTCAGGGCTAAATAAGAAATGCATATCATGTGATGGATCTCTGTGAAGATGATGCAGTCATCTGTAGCCTCCAGCTGTACAATAAAAACAAACATGAGCATTTACACTCAATCTCTTCCCAAGGATGCAAAAGAGTATGGAAAAACTAGTCTCTAACTGCCCCATAGCCAGAGGCTACAAATGATCATAACATGCTAAGTTGTAAGCAGCTTCCAGTCATCTCTTTCTGCTCACATGTCTCATTGACTCCCACACTGGAAAAAAGACTGTATATTAATTAATTGAATAATTCAATATTTAAATTATTTTTAGGGCACCTTTTCAGAAAAAAAGTCAACTTACTGGATAGGCAGGCAGTTAAAACAAAAAGATTAGCTTTTAAAAGCTCAGATTCAAATATTTGGCATCATCAGGTGTTTGGCTATGTGGCAACCCACCTTGAGCCATGAGGAGGCACAGTAAGGAATAATAATAACAATAATAATAGTAATAATAATAATAATAATAATAATAATAATAATAATAATAGGCTTGCACTATTGGCTGGGTGGCCTGCACAACTGTGGTCTTCCACTGTAAAACTATCCCCCAATAAAAAAGTATATCTTGCTAACTTATGCTTGCTGCTCTGTATGTTTCTTGACTTGCTCTTTCTTCTTACTCTCTTCGCCACTGCAGTTGGCTTCTGCCCCTATGACCCAATCATCCCCAGCTGAGGTTCCCTACCTCCCTAATCCTAAACAAGCCCCCTTTTTCCTTCCTTTTTCACTTCCCTATGAAGCCCCTTGCATGCGTCCCCAACCTCTGGGTTAATCTCAAAGTCCTGGGCAATTCCACCTTGGTAATCTTTCACCAACACCCAGTGACTCAGATTTCCTCTTGGGTCCTCTTAGTCATCACTCCAACAATGGACTCAAACAACCAGCATCTCCAGGATCAATAAAACTGGCTGGGCAAGGGATTATCGGACCCTGAATTGGGCCAACCTTCTTTTGTGGCAGTCACATGGACAAAGTACTCACAATTACCCATTCATCTTCCCTAGAATTTGGGGGAAGCTCTGCTACTGTTCTTCGTGACTGCTATACCCCTTTCCCAAGGATGAACCATCTAATCCCATCACCCTGGACAATATACCAAAAAGGAACATAATGGACACTAGTGCCATGGGCACTAGACTCATTGAGGACTCACAGGACCATTACACAAACAATAGAACCCATGGGACCTGAGAGTCCCTCTTTGTTTGTCTCGGGTTGAGACACAGTAATCCATTCATAAAACTATGTCTCCTTTTGTTCCACTGGTCACCTGGCCCTCTGTCAGTCATTGGAGAGTAGGAATTGAATAAATTCCTCAGTAGCTTCTTCTTCATCTGGTGAGATTTATTTGATTCAGGAACATTGGGATTTAGCTTCTATTCTCGCCAGGCACGGACTCTCAGTGGCTCGCTAAATGGTCTCATTATCTGCTTATCGGATCTCATAAAATGAGTATCAGGTTTTGCTATTCGTAGTCCAGATCTCACTATCTGCACACTGCTCTAAATTACTTGATTTTAATGCAACCAAGTCAATTCTATGATTTAATTTTGCACATCACTTTAATGTGGGTGGAGATGACTGTGTGCACAGCATGCTAGCAAGAATTACATTTACCTACGTATGTCAACACAGTGACTCACAAAGGTTATGCATTAAAAAAAAACCCTAACAACAACAAACAACACACTTGGAGTGCCCTGAAGCTTTTTAAATATTGGGAGGCTATTATAAAGCAGACTGAAAAATCCAAGTGCAAGGCACCACGGAAAACAGACAGCAAAAGGAAGAAAACAACTTTTAATTAAGAACAGAATTTCTTATAGAAAACTAAGTAGTAAGTGCTCAGGGGAGTCTGTTAATCTTCCCCAAGCAGAAGTTTTTTTTTAGAAATAATTGCAAAAATAAATAAGTAGTTTGATCAACACTAACAGGCAAGACTTGATATAATATGCATTATGCTTCTACTACTGTGGTGGAGTTGAAAGCACAAGAAAAGAGTAAATTGTCTTACTATTTTGTAACATACAATTTTGCCAACCTTCCTAATTGGCTAAGGGATACCTATGCAGAAATGTGATTTGTTTTTAGATAGATGGGGTGTTTACTTGGGGAAATTTTGTTAAGTATAATCCAGGCACAGTTAAGCACAGTGAAATCAATTAATTTAGTATCAGCTCACAATAAAATTGAGTAAACTTCACAAAGCTGGGTTATTTTTTTTTAAAAAAAGGTCATATTTACAAAAGACTGTTTGTACTTCTGATAGCAAGGTGCTTTCGCATCTTGTTATAAGGATTTAGGTATTGATAATGACAATCACATGCAATGCCTTAGACATGCAAAGTTAGTTAACTCAAATACCACAACTCAAGCCTCTTGTAGGGCTTTTCACTTCAAACAATTATACAAATCTCTAAACATACAGCTATGGGACTAGGAAGCCAGTATCAGGACTGTGATCCCAATCTACAATCATCATATGATACCGTTTATAATGCAAGCAATTTATGACAAGATTAAGAAATTAAGAAATCAGTACTTAACAAAATAATGAACTAGTTAATCTAGTTGAGTTTTCAATGCAAGGTGAAATAAAATTATAACAAAGCTGCTTAGACTTCAGAAAAATAGACATTGGAATTATTTTTCTGGATTACAGTCCACACTATCGACTTGCTAGAATGCCACTGATGGTGAAGGATGGGGAATTCTGGGTGCTTTAGTCCAAAAAACTATTTTTGAGTACTATAGGAAGGAAAAAAAACATAGTAGAAATAAAAAAATATGGAGCCTGACAGATGCTATGAGTCATTGTAGTGAACTGTTGATTTACTGCAGACATTACCAACTTTTGGTTACAAGTTCTGGTACCTATTTTTGCTATTAATAGCCTTGCTGCTATTAACAGAAAGGAGGAGTAGAAATTAAGATAGCAGAATGGTATAAGGAAATATGAAAATTAGCAATAAATGATAAATTAACATGCCATTTAAAGATTTAAAAAAAGGCCTAAGGAACAATATTGATTTTGAAAGCAGATGGAAAAAATGGTTGAAGAAACACTGAGAAAAGAAGATGGGAAGCAACCCTCATCAGAAGAAATGAAGCTCTGGTGGGACCACAAAGAAAAGATGGGGAGCACAACAGGGGA